ACATCTCTATATATGTGTCGGTGTTTGGGAGCATAATTGCCAGGGGTCGAGAGGCTTGTGAATACAGGTTGGGAGTCAGAGTTTCTTTAGTAAGATATTTAAACGCTAGGTGGGTTGTAAGCAATATCATTGTTTAAGATAGTGATGCCAACTTAACCAAGTTTACACACACACACACACACACACTATATATATATATATATATAATGATACAATATGGTAATCCGGTGTAGCTCTAAATCAAAAGGCAGAGCAAAATTATTATTAATTAAAGAATATATATCAAATACTTAAAATCCCATAGGTAATACTTTTTTTTATTTCATGAGAGCTCAAAAAGGCAGCTCTCAATCTTCAATGCCTACAAACAAATCATTGATTTGTTTGTAGGTATTCCGATTGACAGCTACTTTTTCGAGCTCTCACGAAATAAACGATATTACCTATGGGATTTTAAGTATTTGATATTCTTTAATTATATATATATATATATATATATATATATATATATATATATATATATATATATATATGTATTTATTCCTAGGAAACTTTATATATAATTATAATTAGAGGGCTAAAAACTCAGGCTGACTACAAAGAATGTTGATAGAGCTGTAAAATCTCGCATGTATAAATTTTACCTCATGTTATTAATAACTGTATTGAATATTTCCATGTAAATTAACAACAGTTTTAAAAGACTAGGAATGTAAGTCGTAGCGCATCGTGGTGTTATGAAGTACCTATAGAATAAGAGCTTAGCCCACAATGACATTCATGCTGACATGGATACTACATATGGGATCAAGCTCTAGCTTTGTTAAAATGCCAATGTGGGCAGCTGAGTTTAGGAGTTTAGAAGGGGAAGGGAAAACCTTGAAGATGACCCGATCTCTGGACGTCCTGCAAATGCCACCACCCTGGAAAACATTGATCGTTTTCACCACATGGTGACGGATGACAGATGACTGACTATAAATCAAATAACCAGTACTATTAGCATATCCTATGAGGGAGTTGAGGATATTCTGCCCAATGACGAAGGTTTCTGCTCGGTGGGTGACACGTCTTCTGATACCTGTTCAAAAGCGCACCAGGCTGATTACATCACGTCAAAATCTGACATTGTTCCAGGCAATAGTTTTCTTGAACGTTTCTTAACCCTGATTGAGTTTTAGGTTCATCACTTTGAGCCAGCGACTGAGAGAAAAATCCATACAATGGACCCCCCCACTCTTCACCTGCTCTAAAGAAAGCGATAGTCGTTTGATTCGCAGGAGAGCTGATGGCCTCAGTTTTCTTTTTTCGGGTGCAAAAGGCATTGTTTTGTTTTTTGTTTTTTTTGGCGAGTACTATGCAACCTTTTTGAAGCTCTTACGAAAGGCTATCAAGAGCAAATGCCCAGGAAATCTGACTAAATGAATCTTGTTTCCTCCGGTCAATGCTCCAGCACACAAGTCATTGGTTTCAATGGTTGTTGTTCATCACTGTGGCATTGACGTGGTTGATCACTCTACCTATTCTCCTGATTTGACTATCATCTGTTCCCCAACATGAAAAAAAAATCATCTTGACGTCATATCTGCTGCTGCTGCTGACCTTTTCGACTAGAAGAATGAACACTCTTGGGGATCAACCACTCCAACACCGATAGAAGAAGTCTGAACTACAAGGGAGGGGAATATGATGAAAAATAAACCTCAATTAGTTATTTTCCATGTGATTATCTTGGTCGGCCTTTGAACTTTTCAGCCAAACTTCGTATAATAATAAAAACATAATTAAAACTGTAGACTAGATCTAATAATAAAAGATGTGAAAGAACGGCATCTGTGTGCTGTGTCCTCTAAAGACGTGGCCGTTTATTGCTCTCAACAACTTCCTATCCTTTGTTCCTGATAGTAATATTTATCTTTTCACTATCTCTCTCACTTCCTGTTCTGCTATTTATTGGATTAGATATATCCCCAAATTTTTTCCTAATTATGTGATCTAGAAATTTCAAATGTCTTTTTTCGGTTCTTACTATAAGCGTTTCTTTGTTTCTATTTGTCTTACAACTTCCTCGTTTGTCGCATGTTCAGCATCCTTTTAGAGAGCCACATCTCTGTTGTCTCAAGTCACTGACATATAGGAGGACTGATGTTACATACTAATTCGACACTCTTACGTTTCATGCCTGTTAAAATTCTTACTTTTCATGCCTGTTACAATTTTTCTGAGAAAGAATTTGATGGATTCTGAATATAAAGATCAAGAAATAATAAAAAAAAGATTGCAAAAATACGTCATTAAAAATATTATTAAACGAGAAGCAGGAAATTTTGAAATAACTATGAAGAACGTTAATAAAATTCCAGACAATCCATCTTTATGTAATATTTAAAAGTAAGTATTAAAGGGTATTGATAACATACTTAGAGAGAATTCATTCAATACCTTCCATAGAAAAAAAAAACATCCATTTACCTTAGAAAAATAAAAAGAGACAATCAAAAAGAAATAATAATACTAATTTTGTTCCTTTATTCTTGCTGACAGAACCTGTTATGATGTTGATTAGGGGTTAGTAGAGACAAACGCCAAATAACACGTAACAATAAAAAGGGTTTTAATAGGTTGGTAAAAAGGTACAGAAATCGCCTGAGTAGTCAATAACTAGCTCAGCTAAGAACTTCTCTGTCTATCTATCTTCCCCCTGTCAACTGACATGCACTATTTAAAGTCTTTGTTCACAGACGCAGACAAGTTCATCTTCAAGAGGGGTGGTAGGTTTCCGACATAACAGGACCAATGTTAGTTAACTAGAAATTACCAAGCAAACAGACCGAAAACTTTGTGTTAACCTAAAATGCAGATTCCGTGATGAATATCCAGAAACAATTGACCACATTGTATCAGGTTGCTACGTAGCTTTCACCGAATATAAAATGCGGTATGATGGGGTGGGAAATATCTGCACTGGAAAATCTGCAACATTTTTGGGGAGGAAACTGCCACAAATTGGTATGAAATCCACCCAGACCGATTATAGACATAGAACCTGTTACAATTTTATTGGACTTTACAATACACACATACAGACCAATCAATGCTAATCACCTAGATATATCGATCACAGACCACAAAAAACAGAATTGACAAGGTAATTCCTACAGACTGTAATGTAATTTGAAGATGTTAAAAACTTTGAAAATACAATGATAGTGAAGTGGAAATCTAAAATATGTGGCACACGAGGACATCAATAATTCCAGTTGTTTTTGGATTCCTCTCTTTGATTGGAAAAGGTTCTGAGAGACTCATTGAAGTGATCCTTGGTAGTTCATACTTTAAAGAAATACAAAAAAAAACTGTTTTTACAAGTACAGCTCACATCTTACGAAGGTTTTGTCAATGTAATATGTGTATGCTTTTAGGTTTTTTTTTTGTTATTTTTTTTATAAATAAATGACATGATGCTATTTCTGGACTTAATAATAATAATAATAATAATAATAATCTCAAAAATGTGGCATAAGGGAACATCAACAATCCCTGTTGTAGCTGTTGTAGTTGGAGCCCTAGGATTGGTTGGAAAGATTCCAGTAGACTAATTGAAGGGATTCCTGGAAGTCCATGCCTCAAAGAGATACAAAAAATTCTTCTGACATGTACAGCCCACACGTTACGAAGGGCTTTATCTATGTAATTTAAATTTTTTTTCTGTCAGTGGAAAGTGTCATGACGCCATTTCTAACCTTAGGTCCCTGGGCGGGACCCGGAAAGAAATGTGTAAACGCCAGAAATCAAAGAAATAATAATAATAATATTAATAATAATAATAATAATAACGAAGAAAGCCAACAAATTTGTCATAGTGACGTCTGTACACTTTTTTGTCGGATATGTGCAGCCAGCAGCCACTTTCGGTTGCTTTCCTGCAGATCCTGTAAGTGTACAAGTGTAATTTAGATGCGGTATCAATAGTGTATATGCTGCAATTTTTTCTTGAAGCCTTCTCCTGCGCTGCGCAGTTCATGACTTTGGCTTCATCCCCATGTTTTCGCAATCGCCTCCTCTTGGGGGTTTTGTGCAAATACACCGTATGCGGTCAAATGATGCATCCTGTCTTTTTATATTATATCATCTTAGAATATTATATTATGCGATATCCAGAAATGACGTTTTCTTTCCATGAACTTACTTTCACGCCAGAAATCTTCTTCCGGTGATTCAACAAACATTCTCTCTCCTCAACAACATTTTCATTCTGTGCACCCCTGATTATTCTGTAAGTACGCATTCAAAAACATACAATACGATGTTACCCACATTTCTACATCAGCTTTGATGGCAATGGCTTAGTATTAACCACGAAGAGGTTTATCTTGCTATCGTTTCTTCATTTGGTTCATTGTCTTTGTTTTTGCCCACTTTTCTAGGTACTTTGTCGCTGCAGTGTTGTGGCAAACGCTCAGATAATGACCACCATTAACCGGCCAAAACGTCTAAGAAGAGGGTGGAGTCTTATATAATAATAATAATAATAATAATAATAATAATAATGATGATGATGAATGAAAATTTTAAACTGGTTGATATAAGTATATATAAATTTATAGAACTCCCCCTGAAAATAAAAACACCCAAAAAACTGAAGCAATTATATAACATAAATGTGGTAGTTGTGTACGCCATCCGTTGTTAGTGGAAGATTTGGAACGGCACGGAATAACCGAAAGAGTTAAGAAAAGGAATATTCGTGGAAGAATCGAGACTATAGAGATGACAGCATCATTGAAATCTGGAAAATTAAAGATTGTACAAGAATAATGAGGAAAACTTTGTCATTTAATATCTGAGTGGAAAATTTCTGACAGCGTCAAAAAAATAAACAAAAAATTCGGAGAACAGTTTGCATCTTATCATAGATAGAATAATGAACGACTTGGGTTCAATTATAAAAAAAAGCATGAGCAGAAATCTAAATGTATTCTGCTGAATCAAAAAAGAGCATGATTACTAAGACTTTTAGACCAGATTCAGAAATTTATCAAAATTTGCCAATATTTGTACATCTATCTATCTATCTATCTATCTATCTATCTATCTATCTATCTATCTATCTATGTGAAGTTGTTGAAATCTAGAATTGGCGCTTTTATTTGTTGATTCCTCATTCTTTTATTTTCGACAAGGAAACTATTTTTAACCAATTCTTTCTTTCTTTCTTAATATCACATCTATCTATCTATCTATCTATCTATCTATCTATCTATCTATCTGTATGTTTCTTCCAATATGAATATTTGCTGATTTCTCATTCTTTTACTTTAGCCAAGGAAAATATTTTAACCAATTCTTTCTTTCTTTCTTTCTTTCTTTCTTTCTTTCTTTCTTTTTTCTTTCTTTCTTTCTTAATATCACATCTATCTATCTATCTATCTATCTATCTATCTATCTATCTATCTATCTATCTATCTATCTATCTATCTATGCCTATATCTTTCTTTCTATGTCTAATTATTGTAATCTACCCACGTCTGTTTATAATTGCTAATTCTTCTTTCTCTGTCACATATGTATGTATGTAATGTATGTATGTAATGTATGTATGTAATGTATGTATGTATGTATGTATGTATGTATGTATGTATGTATATATCTATCTATCATAAAGTTATAACGCTGCTCCTTGTTAGCTATTTGTGGTTTTGTTTAGTTTCAACCGATTTTATCTGTTTCTTGCTATAATTGAAAATGACATTCCCTGAGAGTGTTAAGTAAATTTATCTAATTCTTTCGCACCCAAATTTGATTTCTCACTCGCAGATCTAGGATAAGAAAATAATATCAGACATATTTTTCACCTTGTGCATTGTGCCGGTGTCTACGCGTAGTCACAAAAAAAAAAAAAAAAAAAAAAAAAAACAAAAAAAAAAACAAAAAACGTCATTACTGGATATCGCATAATGTAATATTCTAACATATAAGATGATATAATATAAAAAGACAGGATGCACCATTTAACCACATACATTTTTCTTTCGTTTCTTTCTTTATACTTGTTTCACTTTCGCTATCTCTCACTTTCTTTCTGAATACTCATACACACTCACATATATATATATATATATATATATATATATATATATAGAGAGAGAGAGAGAGAGAGAGAGAGATTCTTGATAAAATCCAAAGAAAAATCTGCAGTGTTATTGGCCCTGACCTGGCATTTCGGCTTCAGTCGCTTTACCACCAACGCAACCTATATTCCCCGTGCCTTTTCTATAAATGCCTTCATTAATAATTGTTCTTATGAACATTTCTGTATGCTACTATTGTAATCATTGTTAATATTCCTTGGGTTTTCCTTTTTAAATGTTTTTACTTGTATCCCCCCACCTTCCGAAAAAATTTCACATATGTGAAATAGTTAGGACTACATAAAAACTTCGAGGTATTATGGTAGCTGCAATAAGAATGGTAAGTAAGAATGCGTTGTTTTGGTGTAAGGGATACTGTGATATGTTTGGCTCTGTTGCTAGCTAAGTTGCAGATAAGACAGGGTGAACACCAGACTTCCCCTGCCCCCACCCCCCCGCTATCCCCAGATTTTTGTATTACGCAAAAATATTACTTCCCACTATGGGATATAGCCCTTATGAATTTAAGCTCAATAGCAGATTGGTCTCATCATTTACAGTTGAAATGGTTATATGTAACTAAGATAGTAGGTGAACAGTTTCTTTTCTCGCACTTCTCGCTTGTGGAATCCCTCTCGGCTTCTTGCCACCGTTTCAACTTTAATTTTCAAAAATTTAAGTACAATATCAATCGTTATCTTCCGTCATCTTAATACCTGTCCTCTCTCTTTGATAGGATATTTTTTTCTCATATAGTCAGTAACCCCTTGCGACTTAGTCACCTTATTAACTTGCTTGGTGTGAAATGATTAATATCTTTATATATATATATATATATATATATATATATATATATATATATATATATATATAGTAATAATCTTATAAGTATAAGAAATTATACTCGTCCGGAAAACCTTCGGTGTCTTGATATGCAAGTCCAAAGAAAAAAAAATCCCGATACGAGTAAGCAAAATAACTAAATAAAGTGCTCAATACGTTAAAACCTAGTTAAACCTAAAGAGCCAAGCATAACTATATATATATATATATATATATATATATATATATATATATATATATATATATATATATATATATATATATATAAAGTTTGGACAATTGTCCGCATCTCCCGCCTTCCTCGTATTCCGGTCTGGACTCGTTATTTATTCTACGGAGGTAGACTGTTCTCATTCCCCTGGCTTTGTGCAGGAATATATATATATATATATATATATATATAATATATATATATATATATATATACTGTCGTCCTGTTTGTACTGCACGGTCCAAGGCTTACTAGGTCACGAACAACCTACTAGGCTGTTCTCCTGTAGAATTTCATGTGAAGAACGTGGAACCATAAACCTAACCTGATGATGAATGATGACTATTTATGAGTGTAGACAGAACATATATAGTATCAAACTGTTATGGGAAATATGATATATAGCAGTGAATGATGGACAATCTCCATCACATGAGATGAAGAAGAGACGTGAAATAACAGAAATGTGGTTCCGCAGAATGATACTAAGAATAGAGACGACGGTTACAAAAAAGAACACTCATAGTTAACATCAGGAAGAGACAGTTGAAATCTCTTGGTCACATAATGAGAAAAGAGGGCTTGGAAAATTTGAGACTCAAAGGACATATTGAAGGTAAGAGAGACAAAGAAAGCAACGCATAACCTACCTGGAGAGCTTCATTCAATGGATTCCGCAGCAGCCTTTGGGGGATATGACAAAAAAAACAAAAAAACAAAAAACAAAAGATGATAAGTGCTGTAAATTACAGAAAGTTGTGGAGGGCCCTGACCGCCAACGTCCTCAGGATACACAGTTCATAGAAGAAGATAGTTTTAAATTTCGAAAGTGTCCTTAAACATATTAAAGCTGATGTTTGTAACAAAAGATATTTTATGAGAAAGTGTATTAAAATTGCACTTAATATTATGGGAAGGAAATTACATGAACAGTAATTAGTGTCCTAATTTTATCGTATTCATAGATGAAATGCTGCCACTCAGTTTCCACCATTTTGCATTTTAAATAAACTATCAATACTTTTTAATAACAAAGACGAAGATCCTGACCTCTCCGACATAAAATAAAGCATAAATCATGTCAAAAAGCTGTCATATTGCCTTACTCCTCCTTTCTTTAAAAAAAAACCCCACTAATGTAAGGCTAACGAATCATTTATGGTAGAACCTAAGCGGTTTAAATCGTATATTATAACAATTCAGATCGTAAGGAATCTATCTTACGTGCCTCACTTAATCTACTGGGGTAGACTATTTTCGTTCACCTACCTATGTTTAGTGCTATATCATCTAGTTCTTAAATTTTGTTTTCTTATTTTTGGTACTGTTCAGTTATTGCTCGCCCGGCCCAAGGATTGAACTCACAATTAGTATACCACCAAGAAGAGAAGCTATTACGAAGTGAAAATGTTGAAGTTACACGTATGATTGAACCTTGACCAGAATCGGTTAAGATTGAAGAGATCATGAAATTTCTGATGCCGGAATCTGGCCCACAAATTTCCAGTTCTTGAGAAAATGGTCAAACGCTTGAACGTTATTTTGCATTTGTAGCACGGCTGAAATGAGGGTCATTTGTATTCGTAGAATTGGCACGGAGCGTCCTAGTTGCACATTTTCGAACGGGTAGAACTGAAGAAAATAACACATTTGAAGAGAAATTTATAAAATATTAAAAAGATCGAAAAGAATAACCGGGACATTGTAGTTGTTTTAATTTCATTTTTCATGGCCAAAAGTTGAGCAAGAACTGTTTGTTTGTGTCTACACAGAAATCAAATAAAAATCATCTATCAAATAAAAAGAAAATTCTCCGTACAAAATTTAGAATACTCTCTTCTTCAAACCGATTTATTTATACACACACACACACACATATATATATATATATATAAACTAGCTGTAATTCATTAAGGTTTCATCTAAATTTCGCCAGGTTTATTGTTCACACCTTGTACATGTTTATTCGCAAATAATAGTTAGATAGCTAAACAGCTGTGAAGAAAATGTGGTAAGTGGGCAGATAGATAGATAGATAGATAGATAGATAGATAGAGAGAGAGAGAGAGAGAGAAAGAGAGAGAGAGAGAAAGAGAGAGAGATGTGTTTCGGCTTTACATAACCAACAAAGCGATGGTAAACAGTAAAAATTCTATCAATCAGTGAAAATCGGTATATTCTGTTTGAACCATGGTAGATATACCCGCTTCGAAGAATCTTTATGGCAGCTGTCTCGACACATTACGAATGCCCTAATTCACTTCACCCTCTTTGACACACCGGGGTCCTTCACGGATCCGAAAATCTGAGGATGTCGGCTCAATTTTGTAGGCTAGACTAAGCGGTTTTTCTTCAGCGATTCATTTTGATCACTTGTGTCCACGAATGAACACGTAACAATATTTACTACTATTTAAACGGTGCTTAACATGAAGAAACCTGTTTTTGAGTTTTGACTATGACTTTGCTGAAGAATCAGCATTAACAGTTGTAATATTGGTCATAAACTCAACTGTCGACACAAAGGACAGTAGCCAGCAGTTTCCAAGCCGATGTGAGTATTCCTCAAACTGCTTTCCGGTTGAACCTGTGCTTATATAAAGTTCATTTCCATAAACCTTAATTTATCTCTTGTGAATATTTGCAGCACTTTCTCTGTCTAGAAACGGAAATTTAATGTCAGCTGTTAGCTTTGTAAGTGTCTCTACGGAGACAAATATTTGTAAATTGTATCATCTGTTTGTAGTCACTTTAGAGTTTCCTTTTTGATACAATCTCCTATCTATCTATCTATCTATCTATCTATCTATCTATCTATCTATCTATCATATATATATATATCTCATTTATCTTTGTGCATGTTTCTTTCAATATGAGGTAATAACCAGTAATATAAAAAAAAAACTAGTAAGTATTTAAGCTCATGTTAAACATATGATATATTATAAATATGCATATATAAGTCAGATTTCCAAGTTTTAAGAATCTTTATGCGGTTCTATTTACGTACATATTCATATAGCTTTATGATTTACAAAATGTTTAACTTTATCATTCATAAGCTCTTATATAAACAGAAAGAATTTATATATATATATATATATATATATATATATATATATATATATATATATATATATATATATATTTGCATAATTTACAATATTTCATATGATTATATATATATATATATATATTATAAAGTTTAGGTTATATATAAATTATGCAAATATATATAATTATATATATATATATATATATATATATTTTGCATAATTTACAATATTTCATATGGTTATATATATATGTATAAATATATATATATTATGAAGTTTAGGTTATATATATATATATATATATATATATATATATATATATATATATATATATATAT